AGAAGTATTTGAGGAACAAAATTGTGGTTCTTCTCCTTTACATAATATTGCCCCAGGACATTATGTTCATTAGACTAGGCATCAACTAAAACACTGTTTATAACCTCATTGAAACCGGCCTTATCTACTTCTCTTAATTAACCCTGGTGCAGCAAAACTAGAAGGAATTAACCCTTGGATTCATTTATCACAGTAAAAGAATGCCAAAGTACCTATCTGGACTTGTCAGCCAAATAGAAATTTGAAACTCAGACTTAAACACCCCAGTGGTCAGAAGCAAATGACTTCGAAAGCAAACAGCTGATCCCAAGAAAAAATGAACAAGATTACATGTGAGCTGTTGAAATTTTTGGACTCTGTTTCTGAACTGCCGGTATTTTAATAGTTTTTTTTTGTCTTCACCCACTTGTGGATTATTTTTTAGTAGCTCGGTGAACAATGAATACAATAAAAGTTAATCTTTTATTCCTTATGCTAGAAATTGAAATTGTTACACTCTGCTTAATATTTATAGTGCATAAAATTAGTTTTATTTTATCAACTTGAGTTCATCTCCTGGTAACTTACTAAAAGAGGAACATGTTTAATACTCATTATTTTTCTCTTTATTTTATTACTATAGTTAACTGCAGTGTAGTAAATTACCTGGTATGGCTTTTCTAGCCTTAAGTCTTTGTAAACTCAGTGGTGGAATTTGCCATGAGCAATTGAGGAGGCCCTGATTGTAAAAATCATCCACCTGGGGTATTTATGTTGTGAGCAGCACAAAGCAATGTTCTGGGAAGTTCACTCTCTCTCTCAGATGCTTAGAATTCTGATGTTATGATTGATTATTTTGGCCACTCTGCCCAGCTCAAAAGGAGGCCTACTAGAGGCAGAAGTCTCTCTCTGACCTCTGGCTGAGGAAGACGTGTTGCTGAGAGAAAGAGACACTGAGAGACATGTGCTGCCGAAAAAGAGACACCGAGACACATGCATTGCTGGGAGAGAGACTGTTGGGTGAAAGATGGTGGGCTGGGACAGAGACTGAACGTTGTTCCTTAACTTGAATTGTAGTCTGGTGCCTCCCTAATAAACCCTATAATGTGTGA